AAAACAGTCTCCAACCCAGATTGATGTACCCTGCAAAACTATCTTTCAAAATTGATGGAGAAATAAGATACTTTCATGATAAAGAGCACCTTAGGAACTTCATGAATAACAAAGTAGTACTCCCAAAATTTTAGACAACATGCTAGGAAAAGACAGTGGGGATCCCAATGCCACTAAGCCCAGAAGAATGTATCTTTTGAGTGTGACAAATTAAATGCAAAGGGGGACATTCCAAGAAAAAGAAAAAGTCATGACAAAGCTTTTAAAACTTTTAACTTCATCTCCCCAATGAAGTTATATAATTCAATCTTGTTATTGTACTGATTAGTATTTTTCAGATTCTAACATTGCACACCTTTCCTTGTGTTGTACTAGATATCTATCGTCTTCTTGTGTCTACTTTTTAATTGGGTTGTCTATGAATGAGCTGTAAGGGTCCTTTATATATTCTGCTCGTAAGTTATAGGCATTGCAAAAATGGTGTGGTTAAGGACTTTTCACTTTAATGATGTCATTTAAAGTTCTAAATTTTGATGGAATCTCATTTATCAATTTTTTCTTTTCTATATCATGTTTTTTGGAATCAAAGAAAGTTGATGCCTACCCTAAATTCATAAACATTATCCCTTATAATTTCTCCCTAAAGTTTTCTAGTTTCATTCTTTCATATTTAGGTTCGTAGATCCTTTTGAATTATTTTTATATATGGAAATAAAGGGTTAAGGTTCATTTTGTATATATGGATACCAGGTGTTCTAGTGCCATTTGCTGAAAACACTGTCTTTTCCTCAGCTCTTGATTTGAGTTTATATTCTATAAAAGTTAATGTTTAATAATCTTTCAAAACTCATTGGACCATACATGTGTTTCTATTTGTAGCTTCTCTGTTTTATTCCAATTAGATATATGTCTTTCATTACACCAACACTGCCTTGATTACTGTATCTTTAGAGGAAGTCTTAAAATTAGGTACTAAATATCTTAGAATACTTTTTGTTTCTTCTTACTTTACTAGGTCTCTATACTCCTACATAACTTTAATTTTTTACTACATAACTTTTAAATTTCAATATCGAATTCTTCACAGCAAGTATATATAGACCTGAAGTTTTACATATACCTTGGGTTTTCTAACCCTGCTAAATTCAAATACATATTCTAGGGGCTTCTAGAGATTTCTTAGTATTTTCTCTATATATGATCATTTCATCTACATATAAAAATTTTGCTTATACCTTGCCAATCCTATCCTAATTGTGTCATTTTATTGCCAGACTGTTTTGGTTTAGGCCTATGTTTCAAAATTTAATGGACAGATAAAAAGTAGGCAGATCTGCCCTTGTTCCCCACCTTAGGGAGAAAGCATTGTATCTTCTCCATCCATATAAGGCATTCTCGCTGGAAGTATGGAATACATGTCTTTAATCTGTTGAGAAGTTTCCTTTCTACTTCTAGTTTCTTCATAGTTTTTACCATGAGCAGCTGTAGAAATTAGTCCAATACTTTTTCTCCAACTAGTGACAGGATCATATGGCTTTTTCCTTTCCTCTGTTAAAATGTTGACTTTTGGGGGTGGATCTCCCAACGCTGAACCAACACTGCCATCTCTATAAGAAAACCATTTTCTACATACTACCATGTCTGATTTCAAATAGTTGGTTTTCTTAAACAAATTTCTATCTATGTTCATACTTTTTTTCTATTATCTTTATCCAGTTTTAGGATTAGCACAATGTCAATTTCCTAAAATGTGGGGAGAAGTGTTCCTTTTTTTCTGGTTTAAATATTTGATATAATTTATCAGTTTAAATTTATATGAACCTGTTGTTTGCATAAGGTAGGTTTTCAAGCTAGGAATATTCTTTCTTTAAAAGGTGCTATTCAAATTTTTTATTTCCTCCAGTGTCAGTTTCATTAATTTGTCTTCCATGGTACTTCTTAGAAGTTGTCAATTTCATTTCAAGAAACATTTTTGGAATATGCTTTATATATCCTTTTAAATTCTGTAAAATCTGAGGTAATGTCTCCTAGATCTTGATACTGTAATTTTTAAAATTTATTATTGACATTGTGTAATAGGAAGAAATGCTCTAAAGGAGTAGGGGAAGTGGGAGGGGTAGGGGAAAGGAAACAATGGAAAAGAAAAACTGAGAAAAGGAAAAAATGGAAACAAAGTCTTTGCAAATAGGGAAGGGTGGAGGGGCTGAAGGGAGGGCAGGGGAAGGGGAAAAATATAAGAACCAAGATACTCATATAATGGCACAAGATCACAATGATGAATGTAATTGTATTTTATACCTAAAATGTATCAATAAACAATGGGGAGGGATAAAAAAGAAAAATGAGACCAAAAGAAAAAAAAAGATTACAAATCAACACAAACATGGCATGAATTTCTAATTCCAAATTTTGCAAAGCAATTCATTATGAGTGGAAGAAATATTATGCTTACATTACAGAAATTTATATGTAAAATTCCCTTGCCTAGAAAAAAATCTAGTTTTCAATGTTTAAATTATCCTCTGTATAACAGAAGTGGTTACAGGTTGGGAGGAAAGACTCATTCATAAGAGTGTTGATATGCAATACAAAAATACATCATAAAACAACCGTAGGAAATGAGTTTTGTGATACAGGACAAAAACTTTCAAATAATATATTTTATAAAAATAACCTGGAAAATATTTTTAAATAAATTTCAAAACAGAAATATCACTTTGTATTTCATTATATTAATACATACATGAAGCAAAACTCCCACAATATTCTGAGGAAAAGTACATCCCTTTATCATATTAATGTTAATTAATCCCTTTAATATGTTATAGGAGAATGTGTACCAAAAAATGTAAAGTAATAATTAAGAATCAATATTACACATAAAAAATAATGAATGTAAAGATTGAAAGACATTATTGCAAGTGCAAATTAGAAAAGTAACAGAAGGTGTAGATCACAGAAACTCAGGACATTTTATGATAAAGAAAATGGGCTCTGGATGTGCTATTTAGTACAGCAGCTTCCGGATATGTGTGGATAAGGAAACCTTGAAATTGAACATCCCAATTAAGAGCTTGAAATTTAGTCATAAAAATTTAAATATTATGAAACCTTATGAATATTAATTACTCTAGAGGACAAAATGTAACTATAATCATGGAGGAAGCAAATCCTTTATATACATTTGAGAGAGTGATAGAAGAGGGACAAACTAATCAAAATTAAATTGGAGTCTTTTGTAAGAAAATGGATGCAACTTGAGACCATTATGCTAAAGAAAATAACTCAGATACATGAACTGAAAGATGTAACTATAAAAAAAAGAGCAAAAAAAAGAGGAGACACTGGGAAGTAGAGAGAGAATCTCCAGAGATGGAGGAAGGGCGAAGGGAGGAAGGGGTCAGGATGAAAAAGACACCCAGCTGTGCTGTGCATGGCCAACTCCACACAGGGTAGACAAACATGATGATCTGCAAACATCGGCTCATAAACATTTTTAACATTTAAAAAGATAGGGAATGAGACTGGTAAGAACTGCTGATAAAATAAATTTACCATAAAACTTAAGCATCAGAAGATAGCAATTCATCTAATAATGAGCAGGACCTGCTTTAAGCAGGTCTCACATCTAATAGTTTGGCGACCTCACCAGGAGCCAAGGTTGCAGACAGTGAGGGCCTCTAGCTTCTCAGGAGCTTTCACAGGCAGGCAGCAAGTTGCTTTTCTCCCAAAGTGGTGAGCACTGCAGTTCCTCCTTCCTGGGAAAATGCTTCCTCTGCCTGAGTTCCACTTATATAGTGGAGACCACTGAGCAAACCCAATCAAGGCCACAAGCCAGGGGTTGCACCCTGATTGCACACACTCTGCACCTCATCAGGGCTTCCTGTCTGGGCACATGGGGTTCACTTTGACTGCATTCTCCAGACACATACAAAGCTATAACCTCACACAATGTAGAATAAAAAGGAAAGACCAGTAGAAACTTACATTAGCAAGGCACAATCTGCCTGCTACTTTTTACCAAGAATCTCGATTGTTTTCTATGTTCCAGGAAAGATTGTACATTTTGAAGTTGTTGTAGAGAATCATATACTCAGGATCACATGCACAGATAAATTAAATTTGAGGGAGGGCACAGATTTGGAGCATGTGAGCTGAGTTCCACAGCCCATGTCAATAGAGAGTTGATCACAGAGACTGAGCTGTAATTAGTTTCAGGAGCTCAAATCCCTAATGAGCAACTGCAGGTGGAAAGTATTAATTAATTCAGCTGCACCCACTTCATAGGTTCTTTAACTTCTATTTGTCCAATCAAATTGTATTCTATGTCTCCATTTTGTAAGAGAGGCAGGATTACTATCCTCTTAGGATCTCTCTGGACCTTCTTTGGTTATGAGGGGTTCCTGAATCTCAAATTTTCTTTTGTACATCCTTTAAATTGTCTATTTCATTGGTCTAAAGTAATTTCCTTTTTGAAAGGACCTAGATTTGGAATAGTGTATAGTAAAGGTGAGTTAATATTGAAAGAGAAATGCAAAAGTGACAATTCAAATGATTATTTCAGAGAAATGAAAGGTAATTAAGTAAGCAGCAATGAGTGTAATAAACCATGATATTGCTGTGTGAGGAGCAGATAATTGAATATACCTGTGTCTGAATCCAATCTGCATCAGAAATGAAACAGTGCAGTCTGGGAAAATGTAGAGCACACAGGAATGGACTGAGTCCAGGTGTGACCTCTCGTGTGGATGTTGGAGGTCAATTCTAGCCACCTGGGGTCAGGAGATTCTGGGCCATTTGGGTGACACTTTTGGTAAAAGCCCACTTCTACTTGGAGCAGCCTGCAGAGTCTGGAAATTTCCCCACTCAGTTCCCTTGTGCTCTCCTGAAATGCATGGAGGTGGCTGAACTTCCTCTTCTTCAGGGATTAAGCCAAGTGAGGACAGGGACCAGCACAGGTCTCCTCCTGCCTCCTGAAAGCTGTGTTTGAGTTTTGCCCCTTTCTCTGTGTCATAGACTCAGGCAGAGCTGTGGGTTTCCAGTAGACTTCTTGCCTGGTGCTTGAGGAATGGACACATGTCACAAGTTATGGATTTAGACACAGTTTGGAGAAATAGTAGGGAGAAATCCTGTGAATATACTTTGTCAGCATCTCAAGGAGGGAAGTGACCTAATCAGAGCATGGTAATGATCAGCAGGTGCTAAGGGTTAGCCTGGAAGAAAACCACAGCAGTGAAGAAGGGAGAAGCCTCCCTCTCAGACAGAAACCAGAGGCAATTAAATCCTGCAGTATAGTGCTGCCTCTTGTGCTCTATTGGAATAATCCTGCATGAGGGACAGCCTTCCTCTGCTGCTTTTCTTGCCTGAAGAACAGATAGGGCTAAGAAGCCACATGGATCCCTGCTTGGAACTAGAGAACAGTGTAGATTCCCACCCCATCCACTGTGCTATGATGCAGGTCCTGAAGCTCTGGGATCCCATCTGATTCTGTCCACTCCTCAGTGCAGCCTTTCCCAGCCCCAGGCAGCCCTTCTCCTCTCCCTGAGAACCTTGACCCAGATCCCTGCTTTCCTTCCTCTCCTGTGCAAAGTTGCTAGATGGGCCCTGAATCCTCCTCTAAAGTGACCCACCAAGACTGGAAGGAGCTCTCAGGCTGACCTGGAGGGGGAAGGAACTGGAGCCAATTTCTCTCCAGTTCCCTGTTGTTGCCTGAATATGACCTGGACACAGGGCACAGACACAGAGAGAATCTCTTGATCCTCAGAGTGAAGTGTTCAGTTTCTTCCCAGCACTCCCCATTGTCACTGCTCCTGCCTCTCTGAAATCATTAAAATGAACTCTGCTCTGAAGACTTAGGGTCTTCCATGACCCCACTTCTCTTCCTCCTTATTTAGGTGGAAGATTGTGGGGAGTGGGATTCACCACTGCAGCATAGTGGACACCCTTTGCTGCTGCTTTTGTGATTGAATTCCCCACAGTCCTTGAACATGAGCTGTGTGGAGGAATAGATTCCTGAGTGATCAGCAGAATCTAAGCCTTTCAATATCATCATAAGCACAGAATTTTAATTCTTACTCCATCATTTTATTTAAGATATTAGTGCAGATTTTGCCAATTAATAGTTAAGATGTATAAGATGACATTGTTTTTATTAACATGTTTATGAGAGGCCATATGTGCATGACTATCACATTGGGCCATGTGTGCCACACTGTGGGATGGTCACATGCCACTCACTGGGAGAGTCATGGATGAGAAACAGACAGTATGAACTCCCTGATGGAAAGTGTTTGTAGCTGTTGTCGGGGGTGGCTGGCTTTCTGCTTCCTTGAGTCCCAAAGACAGTTTGACATAGGCTTGGGTCTCACAGCCAGTTAACCAAAACCAACTGTGGTTAATGCCAGTGGCCATATATTTAAATGTCACAAAAGAGAAACCAAGGTGTGAATATATTCATTAAAATATTAGAAGAAGGATTCTAGGAATTAGCCTAAAATGATAAAAGTATTTTCATTTCTTTAAGAAAAAATATTAAACCTAAACACAAAATCCAGGATACAAACACACACAAGACACTGAGGAAAAGTTGGATGACTCACCACACACAAAAACAGTATTTTCATCATAGTCCAAATACTTCCCACTTGCAAATTAAAGCCCAATTAACAAGAGTAATGGGCTAATGCTAAGAAGAAATATGCTCAAATACATGAAAGGCTGCCTACTGCACTGATAACTCCCAACTTGCTCCATAAGAATGACACATGAAGTACAAAACCCAGACTTCTTTTCTCATTTCTTTTTTGGTACCAGTGATCAAACTCGGTTCCTTTCACTTGCGCAGCTGGTGGTGAAACAACTGAGTTAAATTCCTGGTGGATCTTTACTCATTTCTCAGAGGCAAATCTTACTTCTTTGCTCAATACATTTCTGTACAGAGCCAAATGTGGTGGAAAGGGCCCTTTCACATCCAGGGTTGAGAGGTGAATGAGGAAACTCCACATAGATCCAGAAGGAAGGATACCAGGGTTCCAGGCCTGGGAGTGGGAACTCTGAAGAATGAGACAAGTGACCAGAAAGGAGCTAAGGGAAACAAGGAGGCACAGAGGGAATCCAAGGAGCGAGGAAGTGCATAGCTGGAAGTGGAGTAACCCAGCTTGGTTCTGGGTCACCCAGAAACAGAGATTCCCAAGCCAGGGAGAAAGGATGCAATGGGAAATGGAGGGCTCTGAAGATGGGGAGAAAACTGTGCCTTGTGTAGGGAATATACCCAGTCATGGGAGACACCCAGGAGAAATGGAGGGACCTACTCCCTGTTGGAAAGGAGACATGGAGGGTCCCAAGGCTGCACAGAGGGACAGGAAGAGTGGCTGAGGAGCTAAAGGAGGGGTGGATGGAATCGAGCCTGGAGTGCAGTACTCTCACATGGATTGAGTGACCTAAAAAGAACTAAAGAACTGGATCCCTGGAACAGTGTACTGGGGAGACACAGAGAAGGCGTAAGCCATGTAGAGGTGAGGATGGATATGAGGAGAGTAAGAAGGACCTGAGCCTGGAGTGTGGGGCTCCACATACATGAAGGGTCCCATGGAGAATCCAGTGGATCCCATGCCTCTTGTATGTTTGTTGGTTACTGGGGATTGAACTCAGGACCTTGCACTTCCCAGGCAGGCTCTGTGCTGCTGAGCTACATCCTGGGCCCCAAGAACCTTTGTAGAGCCCCAGAGAGGTACCCTGAGTGCCAAGAAATTTTATTGTACAGCACCTCTGTATCAGTATTTGCCTGAGATTTGTAGCATCTGAAGAATAAGTATTTCCTATGTATTGCAGGCATTGAGAAGAATATAGCAAGAATACACACTGTACAGACAGCTTCTACAAGTATCGAACACTAACATTATTAAAACAATTAATTGACTGAAGCTGACTTCTGCTATGGCTATGATGGTTTAGATATGGATGTGCAAGCCATGGAAATAGGAGACCATTGGATTTGTAGAGGAAATTGAAGGCTGAGCCCCTTCAGAACATCCTTACCCAAATGCTGCTCTGAGCAATCAACAGTAATCATGGTGCAGAAGACAAAAATCAGAAGGTACTCCGTGGAATTATTAACTCTTTGTTCATGTTGAACAGTACAAGAAAATATTTCCTTTAAAGTTTTGTCAAGAAATTCTTGAGTCTCCCTTTCTGATTCATATAAAGAGAATTATGTAAAAGAAACTTCAAATTTATTACAAGAATCAAATTGCTCACAATGCATGGAAGGGTTTCTAAGGAGACTAGGGGTTGAGTATACTCAATGTCAAGAATATTTTCATCCAATCATTGGTACATTTTAGGTATACAATATAATGACATTCAGCATTGGAAATTTGCACCTTTACATAGTCTCTCTTGATTCTTATTTTTCACCCTTGCCCAGCCCTCCCTTCAACCCCTCCAGTCCTCCCTATTTACAAAGATTTTGTTCTGAAGGCAGGGCTAGGAATGGGGAAAAAATAAGAACCAAGATGCATTACATAATGGGACAATTCCCAATGAGAAATGTAATTGTGTTGTATACCTACAATGTACCAATAAAAGAATTTAATACAAAAAAAGAATATTTTCATCCAAGTTGATGTACTAGAGTAATTCTTAATGCCAGCAAAAAATGGCAGCAGACCACTTACTGTTTTTACATTCAGGCTGCCATAATATCATTTGACCAGTGAAAAACATGGCATGGCAGATATGTATGTCTTACTGCATGCTGTGTCTCCTCA